AAAAATTAGCCGGGCGTGGTAGTGCGCGCCTGTAGTTCCAGCTACTTGAAAGGCTGAGGCAGAAGGATCGCCGGAGCCCAGCAGCTTGAGGCCGCTCCCGGCCACTGCACTACAGTCTGAGTGACAGAGTGAGACTCCAACTCAGAAATAAAATAAATAAAAGGGTTAAATTGGCCGGGCACAGTGGCTCATGCCTATAATCCCAGCACTTTGGGAAGCTGAGTTGAGAGGATTGCCTGAGCCCGTGGGTTCGAGACCAGCCTGGACAACATGGCAAGACTTCATCTCTGCAATCAAGAAAAATTAGCCGGGCGTGGTGGTACATGCCTGTAGTTCCAGCTACTTGGAAGGCTGAGGTGGAAGGATCGCCTGAGCCCAGCAGGTCGTGGCTGCGGTGGCCATGAAGGTACCATAGCACTCCAGCCTGGGAGCCAGAGTGAGACTCGGGCTTGCAAAAAAACAGGGTTAAATCGGGCCTGGCATGGTGGCTCACTCCTGTCATCCCAGCACTTTGGGAGGCTGAGGCAGGAGGAATATTTTAGGCCAGGAGTTTGAGACCAGCCTGGCAACACAGGAGACCCTGTCTCTATTAAAATGTATTCTCAAAGGCGGGCTCGGTGGCTCAGCCTGTAATCCCATGCCTTTGGGAGGCTGAGGTGAGTGGATTGCCTAAGCCCGCGGGTTCGAGACCCGCCTGGGCAGCAAGACCTCATCTCTACAATAAATCAAAAAAAATCAGCCGGGCGTGGTAGCACATGCCTGTAATTCCGGCTACTCGGAAGGCTGAGGCGGAAGGATCGCAGGAGCCCAGCAGGTCGAGGCTGCGGTGGCCGGGAGTGCCACTGCACTCCAGTCTGGGCAACAGAGTGAGACTCCAACTAAAAAAAAAAATGTATTTTCAAGTGTTAATTGAGGATTATACCCATAGAACTGGAATATGGTGCTCAGGAAGAACATGAGTAGTCAGCACTGTAGGTCTCAGTGGTAATATGAGAGACGGTTGAAGGATAATAATAATAATGGCTGTCTTTTGGGGGGGTGATAATTATTTTGTACCAGGCACTTACTGTGCTAAGCAGTTTTACCTTCATTGACTCATTTAATCTTTAAAACAACCCTCTGAGGTAAGTACTATTATTTCATGGATGAAGAAAAACTCAGAGAAGTTAGGTCACCTGCGTGAGATTATACAGCTAGGCTACTAAATAACAGAGCCAAGATTCAAACCTAGGCTGATCTCTAAGCTCCCACATGTAACCACTATGATGGTTTTCTTTCTTGAGATACCCTTGACAATTTCTAGGCTATTTCCTTATCTCATCCTGTTATCTCTCACTTTCAGAATTTCCCTGCCATTCCAAAGACAAAAAACAAATTAAGTATAACCACACCTCTGAAATGTATTATCTCACCTATAGGAATCTGAGCTCTGAAAACCTAGAAAGTTTGTTAAGAGACTATCAACATGCACTCTCCTGCCAGTCCCAAAATCCTATACAGGAACCCCCGGTTCCTCCGGTTAGCTTTTGTGCAGCTTCATCACCAGCAGCAGAGTGGTGTGTTCTGTGATGTCCTTCTGCAGGCAGAAGGTAAGAGACTGGTGGGAATGCAACTGAAAACTCACCATAGAATAAGATAAAATTAGGGTCAGGAGGTGAAGGACAAAACCAGTAAAATGTTATTGCCTCTGACCACTGTAAGCTATTTGGTAAAGAGCTGTTTGTTTCTAGGATAATTATTAGTGTTTTCAAGAGTGAAATTGTGACTTTGTTTCTTTCTCTTTAAAAAATGAAACTAATTGTAAAGTTTAGTAAGCATGGAAATTCTATAAAACATGGATAATAATATTCTAATAGGATGGATGTGAAGATTAAGATTTAACATGTTAAGTACTTAGAATAGTGCTTTGAATGTACTAACCACTATATATATGTTTGATACTATTCATGTTTTCCCATTTTCTTGCCAAACTGCTCCTTAAGTTTTTTTTAAACTTCAGACTGATGATTTTTGTTGTTTCTTGTGAGAACTAAAAATGTATAGCTTATTTCCACCCCTTCCCTTCACAGTGGAAATGTTAAACACAAGTATTAACTTCATCTCTCTGGGGCTCAGTTTCTTCACTTATAAAAAGGATTATGGCAACCAACTTTGTTTATCACTCTACAGTTTGCAGAGTACCTACAGTATAGTGTCTCATTTGATTCTTACTTGTGAGATAAGTAATGGTTACATGGTTCCAGTTCTACAGATGAATAAATTGGGGCTTGCAATTAAGTGACTTGCCTGTTGCTTCTCTTAATAAGTGCAGAACTGAGATTGATTTTTTTTTTTTTTTGAGTTGGAGTCTCCCTCTGTTGCCCACGTTGGAGTGCAGTGGCACAGTCACAGCCACCACAGCCTCAACCTGCTGGGCTCAGGCGATCCTTCCACCTCATCCTTCTAAGTAGGTGGAACTACAGGCGCACCACCACACCCGGCTAATTTTTTTGATTTATTGTAGAGATGAGGTCTCACCAAGTTGCCCAGGCTGGTCTCGAACCCCTGGTCTCAGGCAATCCTCTCGCCTCTGCCTCCCAAAGTGCTGGGATTACAGACTTGAGCCACCGCACCAGAGCTCTTTATTATTTTTTTTTGGGGGGGTTGGGGTCTCACTCTGTTGCCCAGGCTGGAGTGCAGTGGCACATTCACAGCCTCCACAGCCTTGACCTGCTGGGTTCAGGCAGTTCTTCCACCTCAGCCTTTTTTTTTTTGAGTTGGAGTTTCACTCTGTCGCCCAGACTGGAGTGCGGTGGCCGTTCCCGGCCACCACAGCCTCGACCCGCTGGGCTCCCTGCGATCCTTCCACCTCAGCCTTCCGAGTAGCTGGAATTACAGGAGCGTGCTATCACACCTGGCTGATTTTTTATTTATTGTAGAAATGAGGTCTCGCGAAGTTGCCCAGCAGGTCTCGAACCCGCGGGTTCAGGGCAGTCTGCTCACCTTGGCCTCCCAATGCTTGGGATTACAGGCTGAGCCACTGAGCCCAGCCCGCCTCAGCATTTCAAGTAGCTGGAACTACAGATGCGTGCTACCAGCTAATTTTTTGATTTATTATAGATTCGGGGTCTCGCCAAATTGCCCAGGCTGGTCTCAAACCCTTGGGCTCTAGTAGTCCTTTCATCTCAGCCTCCTAAAATGCTGGGATTACAGGCTTGAGCCACCACTCCCAGCAGGAGATCAACTCTTAAATACAAGATAAACAAAAAAATGTCAGTGCCTGTTGTATGCTAAACACTTTGCTAGCTTAGACAAATACAGTATATATTAAGATAAAGTCCCTCCTTTTAAGTCTTGGAAGGGGGAGACATTCCAGTGGGTTCAAGTAACTGTGCAGTGCATTAAAAATATAACTGGGTAAGCATAGGTTGACTTAGGAGTATATAAAAGGAGTATATAAAAGGAACATTCAAGGCCAGGTGCGGTGGCTCACGCCTATAATCCTAGGACTAGGACTAGGACTAGGACTAGGTTGGAGACTAGCCCGGGCAACTCGGTGAGAACTCATCTCTACAATAAATAAAAAAATTAGCTGGGTGTGGTGGTGCAAGCCTGTAGTTCCAGCTACTTGGAAGGCTGAGGCGGAAGGATCGCCTGAGCCCAGCAAGTCAAGGCTGCAGTGGCCATGAGCATGCCACTGTACTCCAGCCTGGGCGAAAGAGTGAGACTTCGACTCAAAAAAAGAGGAACATCCTTCTCAGACTTGGAGAAGCTGGAGGACAGGGCTAGGGAACTTTTCTCGGAGAAAATAACCTCTTAGGTGAGATCTGAAAAACAAACAGAAGTAAGGGTGAGATTTTTCCTGGTAGAAAGAATAGCAGAGGTTCAGAGATGTGACCAGGAGTTTGTGATCGGTTCATTTTGACTGCAGCACAGACTGTAACAGGTATACTAAGCAGAAGGGAATAGAGAAATTAGCAATCATGTTAGGTGTGAAGTGTCACACAAAGGAAATAGGTCTTGTACTCGGGACACTGGGAGATGTGTTGACATTTTAAACAGAAGGTCATGATCAGATACCTGCTTTAGAAACAACACTCAGGCTACATAAGAATTACTGGATGAGCCGGGCTCGGTGGCTCAGCCTGTAATCCCGCGCCTTTGGGAGGCTGAGGTGAGTGGATTGCCTGAGCCCGCGGGTTCGAGACCCGCCTGGGCAGCGAGACCTCATCTCTACAATAAAT